CATTTCTTGGAAGCCAAATCCCCAAACACTGCTAGGATAAACAAATCAATTCAGAACAACTAATGTCCATCTCCAAATCGATATGGGTATAATAGAGCTAAGGGAGATGTGGCAATGTACTACAAGATGGACGATAGTGTAGCATGACATAAGTTCCTCTCTAAAAAGCGATATTTTCCCCAAAAGGAAACCCATCAGTCCTGAATCCATTAGGAATGCCTGAGAGAGGCCTCAGGATTTGCGTCGGCCAATCACCCTGCCAAACTCCACAGCTAAATGGATCAGCCACTCTTAACCTAGTCTCCCCAAAGAGCCTCCGAAGCGCCTATTCTTCTAAGTACTATAGCCCAACACACAGATACAGCTTTTCACTGTCTCATATCCTTCTGCTCCCCACTTTAGTATCAGACCACTTCAACATCCTGTACAGAAAACAGACATAACACACACACACACACACAATATATCTTCCACATTCTCTGTTTCCTGTATGCCACTAATAACAGCCTTGAAGCTGCAGCCTTGGTGAAATCAAAGGGCAGTGGGCTACCGGGCTTCCTCTATCTCGGTTTCTGTCTTGCCCGGATGCTTTGTAGTGTGGGCAAAGTGTTTGAATGCTGAAGGACTGGGCAGGGCCCATATTTCATGAAAGATGGGAGGATTGGTGGGAGCTTGAGTGCAGACGGCAAAGAAGAAGGGAGGAGTGATGGAGGGATACTGCATTCTTTTTTGAAGAAATTACTATCAGCAGTCCTGGTTATAAATTCTGAGAGAAAGAGCTCAGTGGGTCTGCATGAATAAATTCTTTCCTGCCAGCACAGAATCTATAGACACTGTCTGTCTTCCCAGTCAGCTTCACAGTTATCTATGCTGGAGCACATACAATACCGACCATAAATCACGCAACACATCAATGGTCACCCACTGATCACAAACTGCACCGCCATTACTAAAAACAAAGAGAGAGACTAACAAACACCGAAGCAACCCAGACAGAGCTTATCCACAGCATTAAAACTCTCTGAGTGTGTTGTGTCTGAGTGCAACATCAGCAGCAGCATCTGAACAGCTGTGGCTCAGATCAGTCAATATGTTTACGTGTACTTCAAAAGTTCAATTTCAGGTGGACCAAAGACAGAGGAATCTAATTGATTGTTTTTAGTTTTAGTGACTCTTTGTAACCTTTAGTAACCTAATATTGCCTTCATAACATTAAGCATACGGTTAACTGATATTCAACTTAAACATTATTTAAAAGTTTAAAAAGTAACACATTTATGATTTGGTGTTGATGAGAGGGTGCTTGTGTCTAGGGGTTGTGGAGATACATAAGACAAAAAAAAAGAACAGGGGAAACTGGCTTAGATGATATTAAGATGAAAAGACAGACTGCTTAGTATCTCTCTTTCTGAGCAAGCATGTGGTTGCTGCTGTTTTGAGCCTGAGCAGTGCACAGTGAGCTTTCCTCAAACCAACTGCCAAAAGAACTGCTGCCAATCCAAAAACAAGCTTTCATCATGGGTCTCAAAACAATTAAAACAAGCCCAAACACTCTTGATTATTATTTGAGGCGTTTAAAAATCATTCAGCTGTAATTCTATCAGAGTTTCTTATAACGAATATGCATACTTCCCTATTATAGAGTAGGTGAAAAACAGTAAGTTAAGAGTAGAATGTCCGAATTCACAGTATTCATAAAACAGTAAGTAAAAAAATAAGTACCCAAATGACCTATTACTTCCAGTGAGATTCTGAAGTGAGCATCCAATGGACACATTACCATCCCATGAGGCCACGGGAGAGGATTTGTGAAGGGCAATGAAGAGACGCAACTGAAAAATCAAATAGCATTTTCTCAGATAAAAATCGCAATTGCAATTTTTTTTAAAACTGCCATGCTACAGGATCAGGGAGCTGTCAAACCGCTAAAATGTGATCGACATGTAAAAACTGCTTTATGACCTCGTAGCAAAGTGCCATATTGTGGTCTTGGATTAAAACCAGTGCGTTGTGGTTGCGTGACTTGCTTTCACTGGCAGCCTGCATGTCCATCTGTGCCGAATGAAAGAGAGACAGAGAAATAGAGACGGGATAGAAAGAGAGAGAATCTGGGGGGTTGAAGAGTCAGGGGGCGAGATATAACCTGTCCCCTGCTGAATGCTTCTCATTCCAAGCAGTGGCTCCCCCCTCCTCACGGGCATGAATCACAAAGCTGATCCGAGAGACTGGGGCCCACAACAGTGAGCCCAATCATACACTTTACAAGCTCTTTCTACCACTACCATCATCGCCGGCCAAATTAGCACCTTGGGTTTGTACAGTTACACAACTTGTGGGCTTACACTGCAAACACACAGGTGTGCGTGACTAGATTCATGCGCAGGTGTGTGCGTGATGGATATCTATAGGAGCTTTGAGCTTGCAGAAGCCACCTCAGACACAAGATTGGCTTTTATCTGCTGGCCCAGCACAAACAGCGGGTTTTAATTTGAAGCCTCCTAATTCCATAATAATTACTGCCGGCTGCAGGGGGTGATGTGTGTGTGCGCACTTGCGTTTGATGCCGCTGCAGTTGGGGAGGTTCTGCTGAGGAGAAAATTTAAGCAAGGAAATGAGCAGGGGAAACAGACAAAGAAGGGAAATGCATTGTTTCTGCGAGGCATCTTAAACTCAGCTGACAAGCTGTCTCGATGATTCTTTCAGCCACCTTTTGACATCCCACCGCGATCAGTTGCTGAGGTGCTGCACTGATACCTCCTAAGAATATGCAACTTGGGCTTGAAAAAAACGCAAATAATATTGTATAAATGTCATCTGGGAGGGTATTGCTTTAATATCAGTGCTGGTGGTTACAGTAACAAGGTCAGGTGGCTCCAATATGAGGCTGGACGGGAACCATTTTAAATGCTAATCACTGAGACTTCCATTATAAGGTAAATTATATGAAAGCTCTAGCAGAGGCATAACGTACCTCTGGGAGAGGTAGGCAACAAATTGAAATGAACAGGCAGAGTTCCAGCGGTTGTCATTTGGCAGTTAAAGGCTGCAGATCAATTGAAATGTATGCCCGGAAAGAGGATAAAGTCGTTAAAAGAGGTTTTCCTGTTGACGTGCTCAAAGAAAAGAAGCTGTGGGGCTTGTGGAAGGGTAGCAGTTTTCAACCTGGCTGAGTTTGAGAAGTCACGGATCATGTGGTATGATACTAGAAACTGCCAGACCAGTCTGGCCATTGTTTGGCATCAGAAGAGAGTAACTGGGGATTCCCATGATCAGCCCAATTAAAGCATATGCAAAAATGTGTAAATTCTTAATGACGTTCGAGTTAAAGAGAGAGGGATAAACAGCTAAAGAAGAGAAGATCTCAAGAGGACCTGCTTTCAGAGCAACAGCAGCATCACAGATCAATGTATTAAACCCAAACACAGCACCCTGGAGCCTTGAATGAGCTCATCAGAAGAAACACTTTTTCTGTCTGTTGCTCCACACGTATTTGCACGAGAAGAGCCTCAAACAATGGAAGAAAGGCAAGGCGCAGAGGGATAAGACAGGTAGGTAAAAAAAAGACTGCAGATAGCCGCAGCATTGAAAAGGTAAGAATGCTGGAAGAGCCTACACAGTAGGGGAGAGGAGCGAGAGAGCCTTAAGAGCAGATAGAAAGATAAAACACAAGTACCTCTGGGAATGTTTTTTTTTTTTGAAGAGATGTTCTTTATATGAGTGTTTTTACTCATACAGTCATGTTAAAGTGGAAAACATGCAGACTTTCAATATTGACAAGTCAAATCATAGTCATAAAATGTAAATTTAGTGTCAAAATTAAATCAACTTATCTGCAAGTCAAACATGTGGTAATTTGCATTTAGGCTTCATTTTAAAAGTGATAATACATCAACACATACGTGAAAAAAAGTGGTAAAGACTGTCAGTCAGAGAATGGGCGGAGCTAGAGTCGGGGCTACAGTTCCTCTGTGCTGAAAAATCATTGGTCATAGGAAGCCAAACACTTCAAAGCAGAGCAAAACTGCTATCAACTGAACTGCAGGGCGCATACAGCGCAATAGACTTGATAGCTCAGAGCAGGATCATATTCTCACAGAATATTAACACATATTCTTTTCCTTCCATCAGACTCTTAATGAATAAAATACAGTTGCTTGAAAAACATTTTGAGCATTTAACACAGGGAAATTGATATCTGGGTTCATTACGGAGGTACAATAACTTGATTCTACTTCTTGCATACACTATTTGAACTTGTATTGTAGCCTACATAAGATCATGGTACCCAAACAGTACATCATTCTATACATGGTAGTTTATATCTACACAATATATCTATATGATTTTTATATTTGTAATGTAATAAGTCCAAAAATAATTTAATTGTATCGTTTTAAATTATAATAGGTGAACCCAATTGTACACCTATAGGCTACAACGAGTTAACGAAGAATGTCGAATTTCATTTTATGCCATTATTTCTTATTTTATGATCTTAAAAAATTATTTGAAAATATAGTAAAACGTGTGAGACCGTACATTTAGATTTCAACAACACAGAATCATACTGACGTGATATGAATTTGGACTCTCGCAGCCGCACACTTGAATGTGTTCCTCCCCTCCTCGAAGACCACGACCAGTCCGGGTTGTTAACCCTTGAACCATTTCCTGACTTAAACATGAGACCCTCAAAGACGCCAACAGCCACAAAGCCCTGTTTATTTTAAGTAAGTGTTTGAAAATATCTTCCGCTCAACGTCGCTTAAGTCCCCAAAGTTGCTTTCGACACTTGGGCTCTTTTATCATCCATATAGCTAGGTTACAAGGTAACAGGTTGTTCCAAGAACCTACAGAAAAGTAACCAGTTTTTAATTTACTCAACGTTCTTTATACTCACAAAGTAGCTATGAAGTAAAGCTTATGAAAAAACAACAACTTAGGCTTTTCATTATTCAGTAAAATCTTTTATCATTATCATCATTATCATTACTACTTACCTTGCAGCGCTACAGCAAGTAAGGTGCAACAAATCCCGACCCGTCCCAACATCGCTCTCTCCATAGTTGCGTCTCAACTTGCCGGCTTTTTCCGCGTCGCGTCCTTGTATTTCTTTGCCGCTTCTCGTCTCGGTTCAGATCCTTCACCCTCTGCTCTCGCTCTCACGCAGTAGTGCAGTGGGCTCCCCCGTCCTTCTAGGCGCAAGAAATCTGATGCGGATGGCAGCGACTTGGCTGATATATTTGCACAAAAGGTGACCGTGCGCCCCTCCTCTCCCCTCCCCTCTCCCTTCCCGGACGTGTTGCTGGAGTGAACACATACGGCTAAGAGACGAGAGCCTTTTACGCAGTATCGGCTAATTATTAAAAAGGGTGATGTACTGAATAACAGTGAATCGATCTCATTTTGAAGGCACTAAATTAATAATAGCTTAAGGCTTTTTTTTGGTATGATCTCTAAATCTGTAATAGGCCTAACTTACTTTTGCACAAAACATATTTGTAAACATAGCCTACATGAAGCATCGTGGAATACAGTTTTTTTTTAATGATTGACAAAGATGCACTAGTGCAGTTTCAGCTCTTGCACTGGTTTAGATCATTCATTTGCGCATCCCTTTGGTAATAATAGTCTCTCGGCTCACTCTGGGTTTCAAACAGGCATTCCTGGGATAGCTGGAGCAAAACAGCTGCTTCACTTTTCTCAGGGCAAGAGTGGGGTGCACGAGAGAGAGAGCATTATCGAACCTGATAAGAGGAGAGAGGCTTGGGAAATGGAATAGGGCAAAGTGATGAAAGAAGAGGAGAGAGAAGACAGGAGGGTGGAGCTTATGTGTTGGATAGAGAGGATACGGTGTGATATATTCAGCTGTGTCATTACTGTAACTTTGTGCTATTCTTGGGTCATGACAGCACAGCAATGTATTAAACTGCTCGTCTCAACACCAGAAGTGACTTTGCACTTCAAAGTCCACACAGACATTGCTTATGCACAAGCATTGCTTTACCCCAATGCCGAAAATGCAGTGCAAAGCAGGAAAAGTTAGGGAATAGTCATAGTATCCTTTAGGTAAAATTGGTCAAATAGCATCAGTTAAAGCCTGCTTTCAAGAAACAGCAGTAGCCAACTGATAAGCAGGGAGGAGGCCAGAAATGTTTAACCCTTGTGGTGTTCATATTTTTGTAACTCAGCCAGTGTTCGTGGGGCTGGTGGCAGGGCCGTAGTGGGGTGAAAGGTGGTGACGATTATAGGGGCCCACGGCAGGGGGGGGGCAGCCTAAAAAGACGATAAGGACAGTTGACGGGCCACTGCTGCGCATCTCACGAAAGCTTATCATTTGCACATGTTTTTAAGCCTTGCCAATTGAAACATTCAAAAGAGTTTAAAGCATTCAAACACAAGACGCGGAAAAACTCAACTGAGTAGTACTCATGCGCTGTGTTCTGTGCGCAGGCAGAAAGCCGCGTCTCACGGACAGCAACACCGAACCGAGCTCTCCTTCGCGTCCTCCTACACCCATTACAGCGGGAAGCAGGGGTGCTGAGGGTGCTGCAGCACCCCCTGGCGTGTAGCCCAAGAAAAAATGGGGGGGCTGGGGGTGCGGTGTTAAAAATAAAAAAACTTATAAATAAAAACTAATTTTACTAATTTGTATATACATTCAAATTCATAGAAAAAAATAGCCTAAGCCTACAGTGACAATAAGCAACAGTAAAACATGATTTAAGTTGAATCAAATTGATTGTGAAAGTCATTTGTTGCCATGACTTTTTGATCATATTATTACCTGTAATATGTCTGTGCCGGACCCAAATCAAGAATTAACGACCATTTCTACAGCCACTGCGAAGATACAACCGAGAAAGACAGAGAGCATCTATTACCTCAGCAGCAACCAATAATAATAAAAACCTCGCATACTCGCTTCTACAGCGCTTATTTTGATATTTAACGTTAGATATTTTTCATATTCTTGGAACAAAATGTATGCTTAAGGTTGATTCAGTATTACTCTTAATGAAAAAAAAAATCCCACACACAGCAATACTACAATGACAAAGTAGCTTATATTAAACATAAAACTATTATTAACAGAATGAACAAGACATACCTGTCACGGATCGGCCAGGTTCACTCACCACCCAATCACAGCGCACACCTTCACCTGAGTTTTGATTGCACGTACCTGTTCAGAATCATCACCCTCATCAAGACGGCTTCATAAGCACACACCTCACACAAAAACTTGCAATACCTGCGAGACGCCAAAAGACTCAATCCCCGCCAGGCTCGGTGGGCACTTTTCTTCACTAGATTTCATTTTACCATCTCCTATCGTCCAGGTCCAAAGAACGTGAAGGCTGATGCTCTCTCACGACTCCATGCTCCAGAAGAAATTCATGAGGAACCAGAACCCATCATATCCAAAGAACTCATTCAGCCCCATCCAGTGGACTTCTAGTCCAGTTCCCTCCACCAATGCTTCTACAGTCACTCCTCAGGGCTGCCCACCTGGGTTACAATACGTCACCAGAGCACAACGCACTCCCTTGATTCACTCCACTCACACTTCTCTGGGCACTGGCCACCCAGGGGCCAACAGCAATATGGCCAGGGATGTGAGAAGGTTCGTCCAGGGCTGTTCCGACTGCGCCATCTCCAAGAGCCCCCGCCATTTACCATCTGGCAAGCTCCTTCCACTTCCCATTCCCAACCGCCCCTGGTCACACCTAGGAGTTGATTTCATCACAGATCTGTCTGTTTCTGATGGTAACACATGTGTGCTAGTAGTAATCGACTGATTTTCTAAATCCTTCTCCTCCTCAAGGGCCTGCCTACAGAAATGTAAACCGCAGAACTCCTGTTCAACTTTGTCTTCAGATATTATGAACTCCCTGAGGATATTGTCTCTGACCGGGGACCGCAGTTCATATCGAGGGTTTGGAAAGCCGCCTTCTCGCTCCTAGGTGTGACCGTAAGCCTGCCGTCAGGATACCATCCTCAGTCTAACGGGCAGATGGAGAGAAAGGTCCAGGACGTTAGACGCTTCTTAGGAACCTTCTGACAGCAGACCTTCGAAGATCCGAAGCTCCATCATACCAACCTGGTCAGAAGGTCTGGCTGTCAACACGGGACATCAGGATGCGCCTGCCCTGCAAGAAGCTAAGTCCCAGAAATGTTGGTCCCTTCACCATCACCAAGCACCATCACCAAGCACCATCACCTCCTCAATACAGGATTCACTCTTCATTCCATGTGTCACTGCTCAATCCTTACCACCCTTCTGTTTCTGTTTCCACAGAGCCTGGCCCGACAGAAAAACCCCCTCTTCCCTTGATTCTGGAGGACGGTGCCATCTACAAGGTCAACAAGATCTTGGACTCCCGGCGCCGTGGTGGCCAACTAGAATACCTGATAGACTGGGAAGGCTATGGCCCGGATGAACAGTCTTGGGTCCCCAGGGGTGAAATTCTCGACCCCACTCTATTGGAGGATTTCCATTCTACACATCCCGACCGTCCTGCTCCCCAAGGAAGTACTGTCACGGATCGGCCAGGTTCACTCACCACCCAATCACAGCGCACACCTTCACCTGAATTTTGATTGCACACACAGAATCATCATCATCACCCTCATCAAGACGGCTTCATAAGCACACACCTCACTTCACTCCAGTGTCCAGTCTCGTTTGTACGAAGTGGACTCTTTATGCTACTCAAGCGAAAGATTGATATCCTTACTCTCCTCGTCTACTTACCTCTTGTGCGCCACTCCAACGCCTGTTTCCTCCTTCGACTCCGAGTGTTCTACTCCAGTGCTTAATAAACATCCACTGTTGTTTCTAACCTTCTGTGTGAGTCTCCTTCCCTGACAATAGCTGCGTTGTAAAAAATAAATAAAAAGGTTTTTAGATTTTCCCCTTACTTCAAACGAATGCTTAGTTTGTGGCTTATTATTATTAATAATAATACAAAAGGCTATACAATAAAAATGACAAATTTACTTGTATTAAACTTTGAACTTTTATTAACAATATGAATAAGGAAAATGTGTTTTACCAGCTTTGTAACAAATAAATAAACGGTCTTTGGATTTCCACTTTTTTTTAAACGATCGTAGTTTGTGGTTCATTAGCCTATTGATTAAAACACATCAGCCATAAAATAGTACAATGGCAAATTCTCATAGGCCATATAGTCTACTTATGTTGTAGCTAACCCAAATAAATAAGGTTTTTTCCCTCTTTTAAAACAAATGCTTAGTTTGTGGTTCATTGTTTTATTTATTTTTAATGAAAACAGCAACAATAAAGACAAACTCGCTTATATTAAACAAAGAAATTAAACTTGTATTAACAAAAGGTGCGCTTTTGGATCATAGTGTCTCGCATCACTCTCGTCACGTGACCTGAATTACTTTGTAGTTTTAACAAGAATTAATTAAACATTCTTCATACAGTGGACTACCAGTAAAATTGATTAAAAGAAATTGGGACCAAAAATGATTCAGACACTTTGACCTGACCATGTTTTGCTTAAGTGTTTTTTCCTTAATTGCTAATGCGACCTTTTCACACCACAGACTGAACAAAACTAAGCATTGCTTGGTAATTGGTCGACAAAGTATTGATAGTTGTGTAAATATTGTCATACTAACAGTTGTCTGAATTTTTGGTTGATTGTAATCCATTACATACCTTTCTGTTAAAGTTATCTGACATTATCAAGGTGAATTTGTTCTGACACAGTTTAACTCTTGAGTTCTTGTCATATATTATTACCATTTTCTAAACTATAGCAAATAAACTGTGATAATGTGAGAAATGTTGAAGGTGTCTGAATAAATTTTGTTTTGACTGTATATTTAATTTTTACAGTGAAGACTATGCAGTGCTATTTTACATTTGATTATTCGGTTTCTGTACCTGGACACCAACAAACTTGAAAGAACTTAAACATTGTGTAAATGGCACAAATAAATAAATAGAACGAACATACAAATCAAACAATTTCAAACAGGGCCCACTGGTACATCCTGCACTAGGGCCCCGCAAACCCCAGCTA